ATATACCACCAACTCTTGCCTAGCTATATCTTAATTTGAAGTGATACACTAGATAGAAGGAAGCTTATCAACACCATCTATCACCAACTCTTGCATAGCTATATCTTAATTTGAAGTGATACACTAGATAGAAGGAAGCTTATCAACACCATCTACCACCAACTCTTGCCTAGCTATATCTTAATTCGGAGTGATAAACTAGATAGAAGGAAGCTTATCAACACCATCTACCACCAACTCTTGACTAGCTATATCTTAATTTGAAGTGATAAACTAGATAGAAGGAAGCCTATCAACACCATCTACCACCAACTCTGGACTAGCTATATCTTAATTTGGAGTGATAAACTAGATAGAAGGAAGCTTATCAACACCATCTACTAGCAAGGCAAGAGTTGGTGATAGATGGTGTTGATAAGCTTCCTTCTATCTAGTTTATCACTCCAAATTAAGATATAGCTATGCAAGAGTTGGTGGTAGATGGTGTTGATAAGCTTCCTTCTATCTAGTTTATCACTTCAAATTAAGATATAGCTAGTCCAGAGTTGGTGGATCTTAATTTGAGTGATACACTAGATAGAAGGAAGCTTATCAACACCATCTACCACCAACTCTTGCCTAGCTATATCTTAATTCGGAGTGATAAACTAGATAGAAGGAAGCTTATCAACACCATCTACCACCAACTCTTGCCTAGCTATATCTTAATTTGGAGTGATAAACTAGATAGAAGGAAGCTTATCAACACCATATACCACCAACTATTGCCTAGCTATATCTTAATTTGAGTGATAAACTTTAATAATAATACCATATCACTGTACACCTATTGTGGTCAAAGTTTCCTGTTGTCTCTGATCTGTTTCAATGTTGTACCTTGGTTTCAATTCAATAGTTCACTATTCCACAGTTCAAGGATTAGAAGGATATTCAGTCAGACAGTTGCATGGTAGGAAGATTTCAAATCCTAGATGTAGTTTGGCTCATTTTTAACCTGTGAACTCATGAACAGAAGATTTGATGGTAAAATACTGGTAGATTATCCAAAGTCCTATGACTTTTATTAATGTAATCAGATGTTCAACCTATTCTTCCATTTCTTTGGTACATTTTACCCTTACTGGTATAAAGGTTCAGCAAATTTAGACAATCTAGGAAGGAAATAAATGTACCAGGTACACATAGTTAAACAAGTACTTATCTCCTTACAATTATTTGAAGAATGAAAGTATTTTACAGCTTTGACCTCTTCATCATTTGTATGAATTTCCTCAGGGATAATATGATTCATCTGGTTAGCATAATTTATTTTTACTAACTGGCACAATTAGGTTAGTTTTAGAAAGCATATAAAAACTAGTTTGACGTATTTGAGATGTTGTTTATCTGTTGGTGGGAACACAATAATGTCAATAACACACGACTTAGAACACTATTCCTTTAAGGATCTTATCCACGAGTCTTTCAAGAGTGGCAGGTGCATTTTTAAAACACAATGGAACTACTTTGGATTGATAAAGTCCATTATCAGTTATAAACACAGATTTAAGTTTATTCTCAACTTCTACAGGTATTTATCAACATCCACTAGATAAATCTGGGGTAGCAATGCATATTGCTCCTGATGAGGGTCTGGAATTTTGAGGGTGAAGGATTTTCCCCAAGGATATTCAGGGACTTGTACACCTTTTCATCCGCCCTTAAGGTTCATTTGAGGGGAATGTGGTAGAGATTTGAGAAAACATGAGGGATGTGGGTAGGGTAGGCAAGTGGTGATGGGAGCATAGTTTGCATTGGTAGGTCATGAAGCAATGTGGAGTGACAATAAAGCCAGAGAGCAAGGTGCAAGAGATAAGAGAGGGGAGAGAAAATTTGGAATTAATTCCTGAGAAAGCTTTCAGAATGTCGCTTATAAGATGCCACAGGTACTTATCAGTTTTGAAGACCTGGTTCACCTCCTGTAGTCCACAAAGAACATGAAATAATTACTTTTTTTTTTCTCTTAAAAGCCCAACAATAAGTGGAGTTCATCACGGAGCATTTCATTCATGTTTACAAAGCACTTTTAACTAAGCAGATGAAGAAATATATGGTTTATTAGATATTGTTTTTTTCATGTTTGGCATCAACTACAAAGTCCATATTTAGTAATCTCTTTTAAATTTTCACTTTTATTATCATTTAGATGGAAGCACTGCACTTCATTGATCAATGCTTATTTGAAGTTACTGTCTGCAGAATAGACATATATTTCAATGACATTTGTCAGAAAGCCCTCTTTAACTTGTTTCTGTTGAATAAAATATAAACCAGTGAGATAGGGTATTGCCCAATCGTTTACAACAGCAACAGATAGCTTATCTATTAAATGTCCTAAAGGTTGACAATTAGACATTACATCAGTGAGACTTATTTGTCCTTGTTTTCATGTTAGTTAATGAATGTTTGGGTTGGTTTTCTTAGTTTGTTGCCACACGTCTTTACCATCATTAATTTTTTAGTGTTTTGTTGTGGTTATTTAATTTAGGAAGGATTTTACTTCACAGGAAAAATCAAAGACTTCTACTTTGAGTCCTTTCTATTTAATGACTACTGTATTATCTATCACAGAAAGGTGGCCTATCTGATTAAAACACATTTTACACTTATTTCCATTAAACATTTCTCTTTAACTCTCAGCACGAGCTCGGTCTCTGGGACTGACCTCAACCATTTTGTGCTATAACTTTTAAATTAGTAAGCATATGTTAATGACATTTGGCAGGTTATTAGTAAACATTACTACATTTATACACAAAATATCATTTTTTATTATGTCTTCAGGGTTGTTAAGCAATGCTTTTCTCATGCCTTTTTTCTTTTTGCATGTTGCCCATCCAACATGCAAAGTAATTTTCATTTTAAGATTAAAAATACTTTTATGCATTAAAAAAATTTTAAATTTCACACGCAAAAACAAATCTCTGTATGGGTTCAGTAGATTTGACCAATCTTGGAACTGCCATAAATAATTAGGAAATAAA